TTAATGTCAACATAAAGATTGAATCATCGTTTGCATTTCTTTCGACTACCTAGTGGAATATTGATTTCCAACACTGAGCTTCTAAATCCCACTAGCAGCTTTGATTATTAGCAGTAAAGTGTATAGTCTCTCCCGACTTTATCTCTTTACCAGACTTACTAATGGCTAGGTCATGCTCAGACGTGTGTTAGCCACGGATTTGACTCTCACCACGTTTGATTAGTTGATAAGCACCGACACAAGTTACCACGCTGCTATATCTCAACTGGTAGACGTAATAGCATATAGAGATATCGTGTTATTTACTGGGGACAGTTCGACTACAATTTACCGTATGTCTAAAAATCGGGGACTTTATTATACGAGTGTATATCAGAATATTATGCCGTATGAATCACACACATACACTGCCAATGTTCACAGATTTCGTCAGCGTTTTTCATGGAATTTTGTTTGAACCATGAAGGATAATTTCAAATGCATGTGGATTGGTCATTTTCTCACTACCCCTAAATGGAACTTATATTCTTTTAACTTTTAATTCATAAGGAATTCACCGATTTCTCTATTCCCACGTTATCTTGTTTTCTGAATGACTATACATTTAAGGCACATTAAAGTAAGAATATACACTACGGATCATCATTGCATCTCACGTCTGTACCTCAATAAAGTATTTGATACAATTCTTATGTCCATTTGTTCTTAGACTATTCGCATTCTTATCATTTAAAAGTGAAACCATCTACAAATTATGTGATCAGTGACGTCAGTTGAAGAATTCTACTCAAGTAAGGTTTGATTACAGATGGATGTTAGAGAATCACAGAAAACTGGGCAGTAAAAGATGGCTTTTTGGTTCCAGTTTATGACTTTTCAATAGTATGCACCAACCATGGTCATAATCCATGGCTTCCCGTTAAAAGACAAGCTCGTAGACAATTCAGCCACTCGGACTCGATCCAATGGACCACAAATCCTAACTTCTTCTTATTGATGGGTTTCTCGCGAAGCGAAGCCACACAATAGGGTATGCAAGGTTAAAATTTAAAATCGGTGGACAGAGAGATTGATTACTGAATCCTTGTTCATCGAGTCTACACCTAACACGTGCTATAGGAATGACTCAATGCAAATACCAAAGATATGGAAGATATTGTTACCATCACCGAAATCACAGGGGGATTATGAATAATCTTTAAGTTCTATTACAGTTCCAATACATCATAACATTCTAAAATGTTACTTATTTTTACTGTTAAAACATCTGCTTGTAATAATTCAATAACACTCCTATAATTATTTCTGAATGTACATTATCCTATATAAATTTTATTCAAATGAATTCTACTCATGTATATAAATGAAGTAAAAGGTTGTGTGAGTAACTTGATATGATCATGAGCAATATATGTGCTCGAAACGTAATCACATAATACTACTGTATAACACTGTGTGATTTATCAGAATAAAATCGTATCCATAATGGAGAATCACATCATCTCTTAGAATATTCTTTGCATACACGATAAGAACAGTGTTTTCCAGCCGCACACTGATCTACGGAAGACTCAAAGACAAGATCCCGCATCTGACCAATTCTATATGCACATGCTGCTGTGGAGCCAGGTAAATCGGTCGTTCGACGCGCATCTTGTGCGTACGGATTCAAAAACACTACCCAGCTTTGTTGCGGAAAAGCAATAGTGGAGTGCTATAATTCAACATCTGGTTAACACTAATTCTTCCATCTTAACAACAGCCTCTTTCAAAGTTATCTACAGAGTCAAGAATAACACAACAAAGGCAATACACCTTATTCTTCTTTGTATCGCGGAATCCTTAGCCATGCTCTTCGAGAAACCGGAGTTGTACATGCGAAAGAGAATTACTCAACAACTTCTATCATCACGGTAACAACTTTGTTGATTGTTGATGACTCAATTTTGTTTGTTTGTCTGTTTGTTTCATCGTTTGTAATTTTTGTATCCATTTAGAACCCTGACGTGATATCGTTTTCTGTGCATTGTTTCTTTGTGTATTCTGAGTACAACTCAATGATCAATCTATTCTTAATTTTACTCAACTCCTTTTCAACATCTGTTTGTGACAATTCATCACCCTTGTTACTATTCTAGTTTCATAAAAATCCAGTTTTTTTTACCGTTTTTGAATTATCTAACTCAATCAAAAAACCTACTTATTTTCACCTGTTTAGTTAAAATAACCGTAACCACTCGTAATTTGTTTGACAGACTTAATGTACACACACATACAAAATAACTAAAGTTTATTTGCGATTGTACAGCTAAGAAAATGAATTCGCCGAAAATAGACTCTTCGCTTAACTACGTGTTTTGTTTTCATTATTCAATAGATATCATCGCAGTGTCCCTACCAGAAGACACCATTTCACCACGCACCGATTATTTTGGTTTATTTAAAATAAGCCAATATGACAAGCAAAATGAGAATTTCAACAAACTATTCGGACTTAAAAATCAAAATAAGTAATCTTAAGTTAATCAGTGTCACTGAAGTAAACTGTGGTGAAATCAATCAGTGTGTTTGTAACAAGATCGTAACTAGATCATTCCTGATGTTCCAAACCTTCCTGACGAATGCTATTTCAAAGTTCAGGGAAATGATTAGCATGATCTATATCATGTGGTCTCACATTAAATTCCAACAAATTTGCTCTACATTTCATAAGCTTGCCTACAGCAGCTAGAAATAAATCGACAGCAGAATAAGTGTAAATCTGCCTTCGCTTACGAAAATATAAAATGAAAGAACCTGAAAGATTATTCAGTCTATACAAGAATCCAATATATTTTGAAATGGGATAAAAATGATTTCCATTTTGATCATGAACTGATTTTACTTAGAGAACCATCGCAAACCACGAATATCTGGGAAGCTATTTCGTTATTGTTTACAACTACTCAGAATTGACCACTGGAAGTATCGAGTCAAGATTGTTCGGGATAAGCTACAACTTCCTAGGCATACTTGTGACTGACTACTGAACGATGCTACCTGGAATTGTAGTTATACGTGTCTGTGAAAAGTCATATAAGCGCACGAATAAAAGCTTGTAATGTCGCTAAAATCTAGAAGTGAAAAGTGCTAGATCTTATAATATGCTAGATTCCATCCTGATCGCTGAGAGCTCTCAGACTCAACTCGTCATCAGAAGGTCCTTGATTTGAAGTACGTGTGGTTGAGGGATAAGCAGTGAGTCCAAACAGGGATTGAAACAAATGTTCAGTAAATCTCGGGTTTTGGTTCTCTATAACTGATATCAAGTCATGATTAATGTTGCATGCAGTAAACTAAAACTCAAACCAATTCAAATTTACTACTAATTTTCCACCATTGCAGTCCGCTTTTTGAGGAAAATTCGAAGCATTATGTTTGGGATCGTCGAAAGCAAGTTTTGTACGCAGAACAGAGCAAATTGGCCATGTGGCTAACAACTCTGCTGTGTAAACGAAAACACTGTCGCTACTGAAGTGTCATAGAAGGGAGAAAATAACTTCATCTCTGCAGCAATCTGAAATATTCTTCAGTCGGAGAACTGACGACCACGTCGACGTACAGGACTGCTTGAAGCAAGCAGTTCAACTTCACTACTTATGATGAGACCGGAATAAGTAATGTGGAGGTGAAATTTCGGAACAGTGTCTGAAGCTGACATGGCTGCTTAGATTGTAGAAGGAACGGCATGATGCAGACTGAAGAAAAATATATTTTCATTACGCGAAATATGATCCTGTGAAGGTCTGAGCCCACCGAGATCTCATTAAGTCCTACTACTTAAAGAAACCCCCTCAAGTGGTTGAGTTAAATAATTTGTCTTTACACTGATCGAATGAGCTTTAATCTCATTATATCACTTTCCAACATTCTGTTGCATCAATGAGTTCTGATTTTCTAGTCTGACTATGACTGTAATCTCAAGTAAGGTGCGCATGAATAAATGTGACGTCATATTACTCAACATCAAAACTTGAATACATCAGAAGATATTTTCATTGTATTCTGTGGTATTTCATTCTGAGAAATTGTGTAATCATGTCTTGGAAGATGAATAGATGTGATAAGCCAGTTTTTGGACGATTTATCTCAAGAAACTTTTAGCAACAAGTGTGGAGTTGTGCATAGTTCACAAACAAAATACTTGTGAGGTAAATAAAATATATTTACGCAATGGCTGAAAACAGGATTCGATGCCTGTTCACAAATCCTGAAAACTATATAGAAGTGGATGGCAAACACTGAAATGATATCGGTTATACGCAGGCGTGACATTTTATGGAATGAAGAATATCAGCGAATACGAGGGATACGCTTGAGGCAAATATATATTGTTCGTACACCAACGAGCTTGCATGTAAAACCACTTGAAAGTCAAACCAGAGAAGTAATTCGACTGTGCAAAGTACGAAATTGTAGGACTATGGTGTCTGTTTAAGTAACTGGAAACTGTATATTAGCAGCCTACAGTACAACAACAGCATTCGAAAATGTCTTAGATAATTTGCAGTGTGCTATTGAGCCTAATCGGTCGACTTTATTGGTGCAGGTCGGCCATGAGTTTCAACTAATGAATTTCGTAGTCTTTACGTCTGTGCAATTATTTCACCGTCACGTCAAATATTTATAGCCATAGCACTACACACCTATTTCGCCTAGAAAGGCGTCCACATCATCGCCAGAACCCATCAATAATACGCAAGAAAAAAGCAAGCATCCGTCTAAATATTCCTAATAATTTCACTGAGAATTCCAAAACGATTATTGCTTCTGTTAAACCAGTGGTACGCAGATAAAACTGGAACATAAATTTCAAAACTTGCTTTATATTAAAAACGTGACATGTGAATTTTCATATTATCAACGGGAAACATTCAAATCTCCATCAATTTATCATGAGAACACGTGAATCACTAAGAATATTGGAAGAGATACTTTGGCACAGTCAACTGCCGTAAAACTCATTTAAGAAGATCAGTGATAATCAGAGCTGCCTACAAGAAAAAAAGCGCAGTATCAATAAAGAGTGTCCACTGTTTCAATCAGCTTTTTTAAACTTTTTGTTTTAACATAAGCCAATAATAGAAGTTTCTCAGAAAAACTTGGATGTTCCTAATATGAAATATGATTCGTACTTTTTTAGTAATGGTACCAGGTATACGTAGGATGGTATATATACACGATTTATATTTGCAGGCTGTAGGGCATTTAATTTAAAAAAGATGAAAACATGGTTATTCAATGTAACGAGTTTGTATACTAGTATTGCCATTAACAAAGATGTGAAGGCGGTTAAGAGTGAACTGAACATTGGTTCTGAAATCAGACGTAGCACTCAGCTCTACACTGACGAAATTACAATAGCTGTTCAGTTATGTATAAACACCACCCCATTCAAATTCCAAAACAAACTACATAAACAAATGAATGATGTGACTACGGCACTGTGATTTAATGGAATTTTCTTCCTAAGAAGTAAACCTTTAATGTCACACATTGATGCAGCATCAGTACCTGGATAAAGTTTTCAGTATAAATAGTCGCTAATAACCATATAAGTTTAATTACATTGCTCAACATAGAAAGTGGCAACAACAAAGTGAGGTTGGAGAGAGAGGAAGAGAGTAAACTTATGTATGACAAATTGTGAAATCGTGTGACTAAATTGATATGCTTATGAGCAGTAATCATAACAACGTCATCCAGCTGTTAATACTGTATCAGTGTGTGACACATAAAACAAACCTACTTAATACAGAAGAATGTGTAGGGAGTTATGGCACTGATTTACCGATAGTAGGATTAAGTCATTGATGTTGTTTCTTCGCTCAAATTAAACAGATAGAAACCAATCCAGACTTACCAAACATACAGCAGAATTCCAGAAGCCACCAGCCAATGCAATATACACCTGACATATACGGCGAAATACACAATCTTTGTATAAGAAGTACAATACTGTCCCAATTATATACAAGACCACATCTAGGACTGCCATTACAATAAGCACTTGACTTTTTAACCGTCTTATCAAGGCGCACAAGATGATTGTTAGCAAATCTTCGAAAGCACAGAAGCCAATTAAAACGTAACAGTCAAATTCCGGTTTTGAGCAACACGCATAACAGATATTCGTGGTGCACAACAAAATCTAACCACAAACCGAAATTAAAACGTTTAAGTGAACAGTAGAAATTAGATTCGTACATTCATTTTATACATGATTAACATTCTAGAGAAATGTATACGGCCAGTCGCAAGAGGTTACATTTTTCACTCTGAAATTCTAACTGGCTTTCAGAAAACATAAAATTTCCAAATTTTTTCTCATCATGATTTTGATTTCGCTTGAGTATATTCCTAGTCCAGTACACTTGCAATAGAAAAATTAATTTTATTCACTTGTCATTTTAGGTAATCCGAGTCGAGAGTCAAGTAAAATCGCATCTGAGTTTTGCCCTTATTATCACACCTTAGCATGATATGACTGAAACCTGGAAAGTAGCTGGGTTAACCCGGTCAATTCAAAACACTTTCTCGTACTGTTGCAGTCGGAGATTCTACTATGCAACAAAGCCATCCTGTGATTCAATTAACAACCGTTCAATAACAAATTGGCGACATTTATCAAAACATGCTGAACTATGAAGTAATTTCCATGTACAGCATAACATGACGATATTTTTGAAGTAGCTTCATTAGAATGAAGTATTTCCACTCAGTTTGATCACTTCATCATATTCATGTATCCGCTTTCACTTTCTAAACTTGTGGAAAAACGTTTTTGACTTCCAAGGGAACTATATCATCGGCAATAAATGAATATCAGTGAGTAAATTTAGATTATAATACTGAGGCTGCTAAGAAACTTACAATGAGTGCCATAAGGATCAATGCCACTGAGAATTTATTCCTGAATTTGAAGAATAATACGATGAATAGGATGATGACTCCTCTAAAATACGAAAAGAAAAAAGACCATATTGATTCTGGAAATGGCAACAGAGCAATTCCATTATCGTTTTTATTTGTTCGAATTGAAAGTAGAATGTTGAGCTGTGAGCACGTAGCTTTGAATTTTTATTCACAGTGTTACGGAGTTAAGTTACCAGCTTTTCCCTCAATTTTCCATCTTTACTACTACCAGCTTGGCGGATTTAGGAGTTGGTAGGACACTGTTCTGACATTCCACTCAGTGTTTGTCGTTAACGAGCATTCTAACGCTGAATCGCTGATTCAAAGCACCTCACAGCCATATCGGTATGGGTGGATAAAAAGGCACACAATGATACCGTATTATTTCTTGATAACACTACAAGCGAAATTTACATTTCATGAACATATCACACAGTTGTGTTTGTGTAAAACCAGCCACTTTAATGATATGTGTTCGCATGATAGGATCTAACACAAAGTTTTCCAGTTCACTAGTTATCTACCCTGATCCAAATTACAGAAAAGAGGAAAGCTGTGCGTAGGCCTAGCACTCGTACTTCGGAATATCAATCTTATAACTAAAGTAACTTCAAAGCACAACAAAAATGTAATAATTAAAATTATCTCTCTATCCTATCGGAGAGATGGAATGACGCAAACTGATGAGTTAGTCAGCGGATATGTCTACTTTCGGTGAAAAAATACAAACAAACACTGGTACTTGGGATGTTCATACAATGTAGCAAGTGAGGGAGGCTGGTCAGGTTAGCGAGTGAATGAGATGATTCTGCATAGAATTAAAAGGGATCTGCGATAGCATATGGAATTGAGGTGTCAGCCAGGATGTGATCATCAGCAATGGAAACGCTTGCGCTGGAGGGTGCAATCTCTCCTTGCAGAATAAAGACGGGAAGATTTAAATATTGATGTATTACATAAGAGCTTGACTGGGAGAAGACAATAATGGCATAAATTTCATCACGGATTGGAAATCTCTCTTGAGGCGAAGTTAATGATATCAGATATAACTTCACGGGCTTCTGGGCTTTCAATCATTTGGTGATCGCAAACAGTGCATACAAACACAATAATATATATATATATATAACAAGATCAATTTCCTCCCACTGGCACAGAAGAAACCAAAGAAATTTCAACTCAGTAGTGTTCAAGAAAGTGAAGACTCAATCTACTGGACATGAAGTCGAGAAGAGGAGCAGATATGAACTCAGACATTTATCTAATGCACAAAACCGTCAAGAACAAGCTACAAGCCTTCAAAGTGACTGGAGATAGACCATTTTTCAAGTTCAACACTCAGAAACTTGAGGATAGAGCAAAAGCACACAATCATGACGGTCATCAAAGTGATGTTAGAGACACTGTGTAATCTCACTGAGAAAACCTGTATGGAAGAACGTTTGAACTCTCTGAAACTGCCAACAGTTAGGCCTTTGAACTCAGGAAATGTTAACGACATTTACGGAATCCATTTGAGCAGCATATTATTCCCAGAATTTTGAGACACACCTTTGATGAATCAATTTTCTATAATTTCTTATTCAAATCATTCGGTAGCGGTACTGAAAGTTGAACTCTTCAGATATTCAGTAGGGTAAATAGGCTGTTTCTGGATGGAATTTCATCAAAATACGTTATAAACTAGGCCTTGATTATCAGTCTACTGGGGCACAAAAGTATATGAAATTTGGCTGAATGGCTTTCATGAATAAGGGTTATGAAGATATTTTATGAACAGGTCATATATTATGACTACAGCAGGATATCAGGGTTTCGGATATGTGACAGTATTCTACATCTCACTAGATGAGTGAATGCTAAAAAACAGTGAAGTTATCTGAAACCTGAAGTCAGCACTGGAATTCACTTCGTCGGTCATGCCTTTCAGTATTGGTGATTGCTTATTCTTGAGTTTGCAGTCAGTAGTTTCCAATTATTAGTTTATAGTATCACGAAAGTTTAGTTTAAATTCAAAAAAACGTGATGGAAAACTTACGAGCAAATTAATGATACAGTGGCCCAAAGATACACTGGAAACATTTCACCTGTGCAAAGAATCAAAAATGTATTCAGCAATAACGATCAAAACCAAATTTTTGTTTCAATGCTCAATATTCATCCATCATTATATTTACGAGTTTGTGACGAATACAATGCACTAGATCATTAAATGATATCAGAGAGGGTGAACAGTTTCAGCTTCTGTGAGATCTTATTCTGGTGTATCGATGCTTGATGACAAATATGGGATGCCTATTTTAACGAGGCTTCACAGCTGGAAGAGCTATTTCTAGGGACAGAAAAAGGTGCCTTGAATTTGTAGACCCACTGTTTTATTCGCAATTTGTTTATTTAAAGACTTGAAAAGGAAACGCTGAATATTTTAAAACTGACGGAAGCTAATCTTGCTTGCACTTAAAATCTTTCTGTCTAGTGAATCCTGTTATTACACAAATATGAATAGAGAATTCAGCATATAGATATTTATGATAATATGTTCACATCGCCTGAGACCTACATTTTCCCAGATGCCCTATTCTATTCATCAACATTACAAGGAACAGAATGTGCAAATGTGGTGAATTCAGGAAATGAACTCAAAATGAATTTAACAACAAATGATGAAAATGGAATTGCTTACTTCAGAATAAAGTTACACAGAAGTAGGTGTTAGTTACGTATGCAGATTTCACGATTATTTAAATACATTCAAATCATACCACATAATTCGATTTGTAGTATTCTTGCCACTTATGTTGAAGTGTTTAATATTACCAACCAAAGGTTGAACATATATTCTGCTACTAGTGCCTTTCATGTTTTCTCTCAAGAAAGTACCATAGTTTGTTTAAAAAACTCTGTTAACTCATAAAACAGTTAAATATTTAAAAAAAAGCTAAAATTGATTAAGATTTTTTACAAATATCTGCACAGATTTTTTGTGAGATCATTACGTTGTGAGCGATGTGTTCTGAGTATTTTAAACTGATTCAAAGGTGATAATGAAGTTTATTTATTCATTCTGCACTATGAGAGTATAATGTGAAAAAAACAGGAGTTTAATTTAATCTGTGATCAAATTGGTTATAGTTTATTGAATTAAGACGATGTTCATAGAATTCAAAATAGAGTTGTGTAAAATATGCACTGTTACTCCCATGAACATGCTGCGTGTTATGCCTCTAACTTGTGTGCGCCATATGTAAAACTATTAATATGACATGCTGACCATCCACACAACTGTGCACATCGTTGAGCTGGTGTACCTCAGTCATTCTCTGAAGAAGCTTGAATAATTCTTATGATATCTTCTCCATTAAGGTGCTGTGATGGCATGGCTACTGGTTCTACTTACTTCTGCCGAATTTCGCAATATCTCTGTCGAGATTGGTTTCTCTTTTTATACCAAATCTCGTGAATATCACATAAGCTATTGAGATTTCGTGGTATGAGAAATCTCAACTCAATCTTCCAGTCTGTCTCTACTCTCCATTTCTTTCATTCATAAAGTGTCATCAACTGCTTATTCATAGACGTAGATCCAGAATAGCTTAATGATGTTCACATTTTCATCGTCTTGTTTTCAAAAACATTAAACGTAATGAGGAATCAGTGGTTCACCTCATGTAGCCTATATGAAAAAAGGAGAATGAAGAAGGTTGATAGCGATGCTTACAGCCTATCCTACATAAACAAAACCTCCGTTTCTTTTGTAGATTTGGATATATCACATAGTGAAGCCGTATTATTTAATGCACGAATATACTTTGTTGTCCATTATCGTATGGACTGTCAGTAAACAACTTCGAAACTTGATTCATGATATGAAACAGAGCTTCCAGTAATGTAAAATGTCAAAAAAAAATAGAAACTGAGGAGTGAAACACCATAATTTCCATTAACCATAGATTCTGACCAATATATGGAATTCAGTCAGGAAGTAAATCCAGTGGCATATTAAGGAACCTTTAACATTAAATATTGCTTCCGATAAAATTTTTTTCCTTTATGTTCCCCATGGAACATAGGGTTCAAGCTAGTGGCTTGAAGTTTCCGTAACAGTGTTACTTTGCAGGATGGGGTTCTGCCTCATGCCCAACTTTTCCTCTTCACCAGCATTATTTCTGGCTTAGCGAGGTAAAGGAGTGCATCGGCCGGGGGCCGAGCCTCGGACCATGTGCATGGTCGGCGAGCGTCCTAACCGCTGTACCACCGCTGTACACTGCAAGAATATAATAAAAAGTAGCAGCAGGGACGACATGAATGACAGAGACTCTAATTAAGATGACAATACAAACAATAGGGAATTCAAACATCAGGGATTCTGTTATGGAAGCAGAGGATATCATAAACCGTACAAAGAATTCCTCACAAGACAGAATGAAGACACTGAAATTAGCAAATATACCTCAGGGTAAATTATGTCAGCTAAAGCATCAAGCTGAGTGAATAAAATAGCATAAACTATCTAACAGTCTGCAACTCATGAAATGTCAAATACTTAGGTGATGGAGTAGGCCATCTTCACTTAGACTAACGGATCACGAAAACCTACTTGACTAAAATAATTTTTTTTTTTCTTTTTTGATTACAGCTTGATGCCACACTGAATTTTCATTACAAGTATGGCATTTTCAGCATGGATATCGGTAGCCCAAATTTTGCAGGCCGACCATTGATATCGGGTGTGCGTCGGCAGGGGATCGAACCACGGACCATGTGCATGATCGGCGAGAGTCCTAACCACTGTGCTACCGACGCTAAACTATCTGCAGTCACATGACATCATAAAACAGAATGAGAAAATATAAGACATTAGTGAAATCTAATTTAACAGAGCATGTTCACTAAGGACGATTGGACAATTAAGCTACACACTTGAATATTTTTCTACCTCCACTACAAATGATAAGGAAGTGACAATAAATATGATTATGAGCAATACATTTTAGTGGAACAGTTAGTCGGTAAATAATGTCCTTCTATTGTGTGATTTATCCCACCCAAGAATCACTATGCAGTTGTATGTTGTCACGATGTTCAGTTCTTTCACATATATGCACATCACCCATACTTAAATTTTAAAAACTGTATACCGTCACCATTTTTGCATTTTGAACTGAAATGAAAGAAAATTAGTATTCCGAAACTGGTAGGTAAATTTATTTATCTGTGACACCAATTATGTCAAATACGGACAGCGTCTTAAGGTGAAGTGATAGTCTTAAAATGAGAAGATACGAAATAAATAATTATCACCTTCCCCATCTGACATTCTTTGAGAAGTAAAAATCAACACCACATCCACAGTACGTATTCAAAATCGCATTCACAGATGAAAATTACAAAAATTAAACAAAACTATTAATTCTCACGACAATCAAATGATAGGAGATCTCAGTAGTGTTGAAGTAGTTTCCAAATTAATTCTTCGTCTACACTATCGATGGTCTTTTTGAAGTCGATAAAGTAGAGGTACAGGTTTGACTGTCATTCTATGCTTTGTTTTCTGATGACGATGCGTAGAGTTGCAATTTGATCAGCACATGGTTCGCTTTTCCTGAATCCAGCTTGTCCCTCTGATGGAAGTCCGGAACCAGTTCGTCCTTTATTCTCTCAAGGATAATGCGACTTAGTATTTTTACGTGGCATAGAGAAGAGCATGATTCTACGCCAGTTCTAACATAGGCCTAAGTCATTCTTCTTTGCCAAATTGACGAGGTAGCCCTTCTTCTCATCCTTTTGGCAGTAATGGAGTGAGAACATCTGTCTCCAATTCATCGGGAGGGATGTTGTCTGGTCCTGCTACCTTCCTGAACTTCAGTATCTTGATTGCTTTGAGGATTTCTTTCGTTGGAGTATTGGTGGCAACCAGCAGTTCTGTGAGTGCTGTTGGTGGTATTAATGAGCGAGTTGTCGGTAGTTGCCAATATAAGAGTCCGTTAAAGTTATCAGCTCATTGTTCGATTTAATTCTCATCCTTGGTGATGAGGTGTCTTTGAGCATCTTTTATTGCTTTCATCAACTTGGTCGATCCCTTTCCAGATAGAGACTTGGTTATCTGTTGAAGCGACCTAATGTCCCTTTGCCTGTTTCTTTTGTGACCAGTGTATTGTAGAATTGACGTTTTTCTTTTCTTCACCTAATTATTCAGTGCAGTGTACGTTGATCTCAACTTTTCCTTCTGTTGTCCATCCTTGCATTGAGTCATCTCTTTCACCAACCTTCTCTTCTTACCTACCTTCCATATATGCTTTGAGAGCCATTCTTAATCGTCTCTCTTCTGTCCCTCTCAAACAGTTGTACGCGTTTCCTTGAACATCGCCTTCAGAAAGTTTGTTCCAATGTTCTTCCACAAAGGTTTCCTCAGTGATGCCATGTAATGTGTCCGACTTTGCTCTGATCTCATCTGTATTGAGAGATCCGTTGTAGTGCTCTCCTTCAGTTTCTTAATGTTGACCTTGAATTGTGGTCTGTCTTGATTCATTTTCAGTGGATTTCAGGTTCATTTTGAAGGTTCCTTGAACTAGATGATGGTCTGGTCTTCTCGAATTTGTGTCCAACTGTCTGCATCTACACTTCTTCGAGCACTTTGCAGACGAAGTCTGACTGGTTTGTGGTGTGTCTGTCAGCGAAACCCATGTTGCTCTGTGTACATATCTGTGTTTGTACACGCTGCCTTCGATCACCAAATCGTTGAAAGAGCAAACGTCTGCGAATAATTCCCTATTCTCATTCATTTCTCCAAGCGCTTCTTGACCCATGATGATTTCCTCCCCTGTATTATATGCTCTCAGTTCGCCCTGCATTTTTATCGCCCATGAGGATTTTGATGTTGTCCATTAATTTTTCGTGTTGTTTGTAAAAATCTTCCTTCTTTTCTTGTTCCACGTTGTTTATAGGTGCGTAGCATTGGGTAATTGTTACCTTCCTTCCTTTTGAGTTTAATTTCTCTTCCATGATCCTGCTGAGTTAAATTGGTTCACACTTCATAATAGCTTCGGTTGCCACTAGCGACATCATGATAGCCACTCATTGTC